CTTAAAGCCACTTAGAGAGGTCAAGGTTGAGAGCTTCAATCTTTTTGTAAGATATTCCAGGAAACAGGAGCAGAGTAGGAGAAGTCCCTTTTGCCTAGCTCTGTCCTTACTGAGGGAACACTGCAGGTAATAATGTCCTGAGAGCGCACGCTGTAGCTGCACTCACATGTAGGAGGAGATGTATGAAGGCAGCAGACCAAGAAGTGATTTAAAGATGAAAATGTACCAGTGAGAGTCTGCGTGAAGTTAATGATGTCCAGTTAACCTGTGAATACTGGGTGCAGTGGTGGGTACGATAATCACAGCCAGTTATGAATCTTAGTGCACCATGATAGACAGCATCCAACATCTGCAGGGTTCTTGTAGGAGCGTTCATGTAAATAATGTCACCGTAATCAATGGAGGGAAGGAAAGTTTACTATTACTAGAGTATGCCAGAGTTCCCAACTGTCACTTTTCATCTTACCATACCATACCAATTTATTTATAAAGCACTTTAAACAGTGACAAAGCACACCAAAGTGCTGTACAGGGACAAACAGAACAAGCACACAGCAACAGATTACATAACAGGACACCAAAAAGTAGAAACCAACAAAAACAATAATGGATAACAACAACAACTGCAACATGACCAACACAGTGTGATGCACACAGACTCAGCACAGATCACACAGTGCTGAAAGCCAGGGAATAGAAGTGTGTTTTTAAGCGAGATTTAAAAACTGTGAGGGAGGGGGCCTGTCTAACCAGCAGAGGTAACTCATTCCAAAGTCTTGGGCCTGCTACAGAGAAGGCCCTGTCACCTCTGCGCTTGAGACGGGTTCCTGGGACTGTTAGGAGCAACTGGTCTGCTGATCTGAGAGAACGTGGTGGGACATACGGCTGGAGCAGATCAGTAAGATAGGAGGGGGCAGAGCTGATTAGTGATTTATAGATTTGAATTTGATTCGAAGGTGAACCGGAAGCCAGTGTAGGGAGGCCAAAACAGGTGTAATGTGCTCCCTTTTGCTTGTGCTGGTCAAAAACCGGGCTGCTGCATTTTGGACCAGTTGAAGTCTAGCTATGGAGGTCTGACTGATACCAAAAAGGAGTGAGTTGCAATAGTCGAGCCTGGATGTAATGAATGCATGAATTACTGTCTCCAGGTTATTTTTGGACAATATGGGCTTCAGCTTAGACATCGCCTCAGCTGGAAAAAGCAGGATTTAACAATCATATTTACATGATTGTTGAGTTTCAGAGAAGGGTCAAGTATCACTCCTAGATTAGTGACTCTTTGTTTCACTAACGGTGACAGAACGGATAGGTCGATGCAGTGGTTGGTGATTGTGTCATTGGGAGGAAACAGCATAACTTCAGATTTCTTCTCGTTGAAACTCAAGAAATTTAAAGCCATTCAATCTCTGATGTCAGCCAGGCAGTCCAGTAACGGTTGAATAGAGCGAGTACCATTGAGTCTGAGGGGGAAGTAGATTTGGCAGTCATCGGCGTAGAAATGAAAAGACATGTTATGTTTCCTGAAAATAGCACCTAGTGGCAGCAGGTAAGAAAATAAAAGAGGACCAAGGATGGACCCTTGCGGTACCCCCCATTTAAGCGCTGCCGAGGCTGAACTAAAATCATCATGACAAGCGTTTGGAGATAACTCAGACCCTTTAACTGAGAATACAATATATTTACTGTTATGTTTAGGAAAAAATGTAGTGTGGGCAATGTAAATGTAATGCACCGTTAATAATAAAAACATTGTCTGCTCTGCACAAAAGCCAGTGCTTTAGACATAAGAGCTGTAGTGTTTAGATGGTGTAGAACTTTGATGTGTTTTTCCCAAAGCAGGGGTCAAGGAAAGACAATGTAAAGAAGGCTGAAGCTGTCATTTTTAAGTTCCAACCTCGCTACGCAAGTGATGTTGAGCTGTTGGCTGCTGATGGTAATTATCATGCAACACGCTATAACTTAAGTTAACATTTTTTTTTACTTTTTCTTTTGGCTTTTCCCTCTGCAGGGGTCACCACAGTGAGTCATACTCCTCCATCTCACTCTGTCCTCTGCTCTCACTCCAATTACTTCCATGTCCAACTCCTCTCTAACCGCATCCATATATATATATATATATATATATATATATATCTCCTCTTTGTCTTATTCCTGGCAGCTGCATTTCTAACATCCTTCTACCAATATACCCACTGTCCCTCCTCTGGACATGTCCAAACCACTGTCCCTCCTCTGGACATGTCCAAACCACTGTCCCTCCTCTGAACATTTCCAAACCATCTCAGTCTGGTCTCTTCTCTTCTTCTTCTTACAACACTCAACAGACGTCTGGGGACAGAGGAGACCAGTTTCTCAAGTTTAGAAATAGGAATGCTCTCTCATTCATGTCTAATACAGGCCTCTAACTGTTCAATCGTCTTGGGCCTTCTTTGTCGCACCTTCCTCTTTATGATGCGCCAAATGTTCTCTATAGGTGAAAGATCTGGACTGCAGGCTGGCCATTTCAGTACCTGGATCCTTCTCCTACGTAGCCATGATGTTGTGATTGCTGCAGAATGTGGTCTGGCATTATCGTGTTGAAAAATGCAGGGTCTTCCCTGAAAGAGATGACGTCTAGATGGGAGCATATGTTGTTCTAGAACCTGAACATAGTTCTCTGCATTAATGGTGCCTTTCCAGACATGCAAGCTGCCCATGCCACAAGCACTTATGCAACCCCATACCATCAGTGATGCAGGCTTCTGAACGGAGCATTGATAACAGCTTGGGCTATCCTTGTCCTCTCTGGTCCGGGTGACATGGCGTCCCAGTGTTCCATAAAGAACTTCAAATCGTGACTCATCTGACCACAGAACAGTCTTCCATTTTGCCACACTCCATTTTAAATGAACCCTGGCCCAGTGCAAACGTCTGAGCTTGCTTAGAAATGGCTTCCTCTTTGCACTGTAGAGTTTCAGCAGGCAACGGCGGATGGCACGGTGGATTGTGTTCACTGACAATGCTTTCTGGAAGTATTCCTGAGCCCATTCTGTTATTTCCTTGACAGTGGCATTCCTGTTTGAGGTGCAGTGATGTTTAAGGGACCGGAGATCACGAGCATCCAGTAGAGTTTTACGGCCTTGACCCTTACGCACAGCGATTGTTCCAGATTCTCTGAATCTTTTGATGATGTTATGCACGGTTGATGATGATAACTTAAAAGTCTGCTATTTTACGCTGGGTAACACCATTCTGGTATTGCTGCACTATCTTTCTGTGCAACAATGGTGGAATTGGTGATCCTCTTACCATCTTGGCTTCTTGAGAAGCTCTTTTTATACCCAATCATGTTGTCATTTGACCTAATTAGTGTTAATTGGTCATCCAGCTGTTCATTATATGCTCAATTTCCTTTTTCCAGCCACTTATTGCTACTTGTGCCAACTTTTTTTTGGGATTTGTTGACACTGAAATTTTGAATCAACATATTTTTCCTTTAAAATGTTACATTTACTCAGAGTAAACTTTTGATCTGTCATCTATGTTATATTACGAATAAAATATTGACATTTGCCATCTCCACATCATTGCATTCAGTTTTTATTCACAATTTGTTTAGTGTCCCAACTTTTTTGGAATCCGGTTTGTAAATAAACATTTTAAATCTATCAGTCTGTGTGTAATGAATGAATATAATATAGAAGTTTCACTTTTTTAATGAAATTACTGAAATTAGGGCTTCTCCGGGTCTGTGGTGTCGGACTGTTGGGGTACCTTGCCCTTGGTGCGCTGGGCCAGCCGGCTTGCGGTTGCTGTCGGGTGGGTGGGGCGCATGGACGGCCTGACAGAGGCTCTGTTGGGCTGTCTGTGTGCCTGTTTAGGTCTTGGGTTGGGTTTTAGGTCCTCTCTCTTGGATCAATTTGGGCCCCCCATTTAATGTGGGGTCTACTTCCCCCTGTCGTGCTCCCCTCTGGTGGCGGGCCCCCCTGCCGCCGGTGCATTGGCAGCTCTCAGCATCTGGGGCTGGGTGGTGGGATGTGTGCGGGCCTGCCCTGGTGGCTGCCTGCCGGGGTGCCCTGGCTCTGTCGGGCCTCTGTTGGGGGGTGGTATGACCTCGGGACTCGGTGTCCATGGCCGGATCTACTCTGGAGGGGTGGGTTGCCGGCAGGGTCTGTGGACTCGTCGCTGCAGCCTCCTGGGGTTTCTGCATTGTGGTTGCTGGGGGTCGCCTGGGGCTTCCCTTTGCTTCTCTCTCTGGGGGGTGCAGTTATCCCTGTTGGGGGACTCCCGGGCCGCTGTGTCTGTGGTTCCAGTCTTTCCTGTGTTACCATCATGTTCTGTGGGGACGGGTATGTGGGTCCCCACATCCACTATTGAACATTTTTATGGAGAAACCTTATAGTGACACGCATGCTCACACAGGTGTTTAGATCCAGGTGTTTATCAGATACACACTCAGTTGGGTTGTGGAGACCACTAAATATGTTTTGTATTACAATGTACTGTATAAAATACTTTCTAATGTTTAAGTATCATGTTTTTTGTTGTGGTTTCTCGGTTTTGTCATTTGTTCTTTCCACAGGTCTAGAGGCAGACTTCAATGATGTTCATGTGTTCTGGTTATCCCTCTCTCTCCTCTATTCCCATCTCCTTTACCTTTTAACCCTTCTCTCACTTTTCTGCTTCGATTTTCATCCCCATGTCCGTTACATCTGAAACAAACCCAAAGCAAATTCTAATAAAGTTTAATTTATATATCAAGTGGAGCATTAAGGTCAGCCATAATGCTCTGCTTGTGAAAGTAAATCTGTTGGGCATCACTTTGACACTCGGACAATAATTCTGTCACAATGCCGGACAGGACAAGGGAGAGAAAAAAGAAAGAAAAGATGTTTATTGATGTTCCTGTTGAATCGTTTGTGTTGTTTTTTTTTTAATGTGCCAGAGGAGTGTTTGTAGCTTGATGTGCTACGTGTTAAGTTTCTAATGTGAATAAAACAATTTGTTCAAAAGAGAAGTGATTAAACGGAGACCAACAGGCGACTTTTATTCCAACAAATATATCAGATTGAAACTAAACACTGAAAGATTTGAGCAATTTTAAACTTTGTCAGATCAACACATTTGATTTAATCTCCCTGATTCATGTCTACATGCTTTGACCATTAGATGCCAAATAGTTTTAGTAACTTCACTTTCAGTAAAATAAAAATGTGAATTGATACATTTAAATTCAACGAGTTGAATTAAGTGATAATCCTGATTAAAATGTAACAGAATTGTACAAAAGTAACTTTAGATTTTAACCGGGGGGAGATAGCTCTAAAACATAAAAACAAAGTCACATTTTTATCTTTTCAAACTCAAAGTTTCAAACTTAAAAACTTAGCTTTAAAATAAAGTCAGGACAAAAAAGGCACAAAGAATTCAGACAAATGAGCAACAGAACAGCTGCAGAATGTTTTCCAACAGCCTGAAGCAGAAACAGTAAAGACAATAATCCAGAGATGGGACAGTTTATGGGACTGCTGGACCACAGAGGTCCACAAAGTTCTGATTTTCTTTAAAACACGTCTGATCAGACAAGAGCTGGGTTCAAACATCTCAGAGACGATGGAGGCTGAGGTTGGCTGCATGTACACATTATGGGAAACACTGTCCCCGATAAGAAAACCACCTACAGTGAAATATGGAGGGCACTGCCTCCGATACACACACACACTCAGGTAGACAAAAACTACCTTCTTTTTGTTCCACATTATGGGAAACGCTGCTCCCGATAATGCTGTGAGAATGAGAAGAGTGCACGTGTCCGAGGGCTGGTGGGGACCACACAGGGTTCTGCTCGGAGAGCACAAACTGAGCCAGGACCCGGTCCGGTACAGGCCGTCGGTCCACGTGAACACTTCTTCAAGCAGATGCTGCTTTTGTCATTTCGACAGTATAACTGTCACAATTATGGAAGGCACTGCTCCCGATAATTATACAAAGTAAAAAATTAAAAATCTATTTATAGTGAACCCTGCCACTGATAAATTAATACAAATAAATAAACATCGTTTGTTTCAGGGCCACACGTTCAAGAACCTTGTTTTTGGATCCTGAAACCGATTAGCTCCAATATGATGAGGTACTCTTTGGTTCCTGCAGGTAAAACAGGACGTTGCACACGTGCTACTTCTGACCTCCGTGCGCTACAACAGCTCCATCACCGGGACGTACTTGTGAGCTTCAGACGTGCACTAGCTGCATACATTTTGATTGTCGGGGTTCGCTGCAGTGCTGCTCAGGAGAACAGATAGAACAATGTCCTGATGTGTTCGGATGATTGGAGCTGAAGTAAACCTTCACCGTGACCTAATACTCTGAAGACATTCTCACACTGAGCTCAATGAAACGGTAACAACGATCCAATAATTTTTTGAAGGCACCAAAGATTCAAGGTTGTTACAATCAAGTGCCTCGTGTTCTGAGGCTTTGTTCCTTCAGAGGTCGTTAAGGTTAAATGATTATTTAACGTAGCTGTGGGAGCTGCGAGTTATTTGGGTTATACTGGGTTTAATTTGTTGGTGTTGCATGCGGTCTGGTTTTCCCACTAGCAGCTGTGATGGGACGGTGGCACCATGAACAGGGGAGGTGGGGAGGGGAAAGAAGCCTTTTTAGATTTCATTATCCAAAGCCCAGATGTCCCCTGCTAGTGAGTTAGCACAGCCCTGAATGGTCCATGTGGTCAGGGCCAGCTGGTTGAGGAACAGGTTTCCGTCGGCTTCGGGGTTGTCGGCCTTAAGAGCGTCGAGATGGTTGGTGAGAGCTCGGAGGGTGTGGGTGCCTGAGCCCATCAGGATGTGGCGGAAAGGCGTCTCTCTGGGAGAAATGTAGGGCGACAGGAAGTTCCTCTCCACCTGCAGAGACAAATTCAGATCATCTTGAAATCACTGAGCCTCACGACGTTACTCAGGCAAAGCACCAACTTCCTTTTTAAAGTTAAATGATGGTCGTTGATTTTAGAAAAGACTCTTCAGTTGCTGCTCCTGTGGTCATTAATGGTGAAGCTGTTGAGATGGTGCAACAATATAAATATCTGGGAACTTTCTTGATGACAAACTGACCTTTGACCTTCATGTGAACTCACTTTGTAAGAAGGCCCACCAGAGAATGTATTTTTATCAGAAGCTCTGTGGTTCTAATGTTGATCCTAGTTTTATGAAAATGTTTTATTGAGTCTCTTTTAACTTTTACTTTTTTCTGTTGGTTTGAACTTTGACATGTCAGAACAGAAACAAACTGTCTGAGATGGTCAGTATGTGCAGCAAAACTGCTGGCATAGACCTACAGAACCTCAGTGACCTACAGAACCTCCCTGATCTACACAAGGTGAGATCAGTGAACAAGGCCAGGCTGATTCTGGCAGATCCTGATCATCACTCCATGGTGACTTCAGGTTGCTTCCATCTGGATGCAGGTGTCTGCTACCCACATGGAGAACAAACAGACTGAAGAACTCATTCATCAGTGTAGTGACCAGGCTTCTCAACAATGTTCCTGTTATTTTAATGTCTGTGTCTTGTGTAGTGTGGATGTTTTGTGCGTCTGACTGTGAAACTAATCGCCCCATGGAGATAATAAAGGTTCTAGAACTTGAGCTACTGGGGCTGCAGAAAGATTCAAACATGTTACCTCATAACAAGAAATTTAACAGATTCACATTTGATGAGAAAAACTATGTTCTACTGTAGTAAAGCTATTGTCCTCTGTGTGACGACACACGAGTTGGTCAGAAGTTCTACAGAACCGTCTCAGCTGTACCGTCATGATGCGGTCGTTGATGATGCGACACATCTCGATGTCCTCCAGGTCACTGTTCTGGATGTCCTTTGCCAGGTTGCGAGATGCCCGGCTGTAGGAGCCGGAGGCCCGGATCAGCCACTGCACCGTCAGGGCCTTGGGCAGCAGCTCGGGCTGCATCTAAACACAGGTCCACAAAATAAGTACTAGTCCAGTTCTGATAAAACTAGTGACCGAATGAACAACACTCAAACAGGAAGCAATAAGATCAGAGGTCGACTCACCCTCTGAACCTGCTTCACTTTAGCGTTGATCTTCACCACGTTGGACCGTATGATCTCGTTGTACTTCATCAGGTCCATGGGCAGCAGATGATCGTGAACCAGCCTCAGAACCATTTGACCCGCAAACCTGCCCGCTGTTTCTGCCAGCTCAGGAACCTGGCTGGACGTCGCAGCGTTCAGCTTGTCCTGCGTGTCCAGCATCGTGCCAAAGTACTGGTAGTCCTGAGAGGGAAGCCGTGGACAGAAGCAACATTTAAAGAGGCGCCCACTCACCGTACAAACACATCTTCAGCCACCAATAATCAAGGCTGGAAAGCAGCAAACATTTACTGTGTTCTCAAATTTAGAGTGAGTTTTGTGTACTTTTTAAAGTAATTTGTTGGGGACTGCCAAGAAAAGTATATAGTGTAAAGATAGAAAAGAATGTATTACATGGTATCCTATACTATATCCTTCTGCAGCACGTTTTGTTATCCACCTCTAAACACATTAAAAATTAGATTAATTAAAAAATTATTTGAGGCAAATGAAAATAATTTTACCTGAAACTGGAATCCACAGGTTATATTTATATGAATAAGCTCTGTATTGTGATTAAGTTTGAGCCTTGCAGTGCAGAGACTGAGTGTTAGGATCAGAGGTTTTCTTTTCATTTTACAGCAACGTTTCTACAGAGTAACTGTACTTTTCCTACAGTTAGTTATTTTAGCGCTCTTTCTTTCCTGTAAAGGATTAAAAAGCAAATGAGCAGTAAAGAAGAAAGTCTTACTGAAGAGCCGGACGTGAATCTAAATGAAACTGAGGGAATGCCAGAGAAGGCCACGAAAGGATAAGCAGTGTTATCCAGCTGCATGGGCTCCAGACTTTAAAGACACAAAAGAAAAATTTAATGAAATAAACAGCGAAACGTGTAAAAGAAGCTTTGGTTACAGTTGGGTAGTCTGCAGACTTACATGTTTGTCTCCCAGCCACTTTTTGCAAATTGACTGGAGAGTGATGTTCCCTTGTTGGTCACCTAAAACAGAAGCGGTCCAAACACCTGACATGACCAGGATTATCGTTTAAACCTGCCCGAGTACAAAGACAGCGCTGCACACGTACCTCACTCAGAGTGGTTTTAATCAGGGTGTGCAGCAGGGGACTGGCTGCTACTTTAAATCCATTCCGACCTGAAAACAACATCACATTCATAAAATAAGACATCGTCACATTAAGATCATATTATTCATAAATAACATTGTCACATTAAGATCATATTATTCATAAATGACATCGTCACATTAAGATCATATTATTCATAAATAACATCGTCACATTAAGATCATATTATTCATAAATGACATCGTCACATTAAGATAATATTATTCATAAATGACATTGTCACATTAAGATCATATTATTCATAAATGACATCGTCACATTAAGATCATATTATTCATAAATAACATCGTCACATAACGATGATATTATTCATAAATGGCATCAATCACATTAAGATTATATTATTCATAAATGACATTGTCACATTAAGATGATATTATTCATAAATAACAGTCACATTAAGATAATATTATTAATAAATGACATCATCACATTAAGATAATATTATTCATAAATGACATTGTCACATAAAGATGATATTATTCATAAATGGCATCAATCACATTAAGATTATATTATTCATAAATGACATCGTCACATTAAGATTATATTATTCATAAATAACATCGTCACATTAAGATAATATTATTCATAAATAACATCGTCACATTAAGATAATATTATTCATAAATGACATCGTCACATTAAGATAATATTCATAAATGGCATCAATCACATTAAGATATTATTCATAAATGGCATCAATCACATTAAGATATTATTCATAAATGACATCGTCACATTAAGATAATATTATTCATAAATGACATCGTCACATTAAGATAATATTCATAAATGGCATCGTCACATTAAGATTATATTGTTCATAAATGACATCGTCACATTAAGATTATATTATTCATAAATGACATCGTCACATTAAGATAATATTCATAAATGGCATCGTCACATTAAGATAATATTATTCATAAATGACATCGTCACATTAAGATTATATTGTTCATAAATAACATATAACATTGTCATATTGTTATGAAGTGTCAGGGCTTTGAAGGGAGACAACTTGACTCAAGAATGAAAACGATAATTTAAAAAAGTGATTGTAATAAAAAAACAACTCATGGATTGCCTGTGTATAAGGAGTACAACAACAACAACCACAACTGTGTATAAGGAGTACAACAACAACAACCACAACTGTGTATAAGGAGTACAACAACAACAACCACAACTGTGTATAAGGAGTACAACAACAACGTTTTATTTGAAAACAAAGTGACATCATGATGAGGAGTACCTGTTACAATGCCATCCAGGTTGATGTAAGTAAAGGCCTTCATGCTCAGTGAAGCCAAATATCCCTGCAAACCAGTTAAAAATACAAAAGGAGGGTGCAAACAGTGTCAAAAAATACAATTAAAAATTAACAAGTAAAAATAAACTAGTCTTTCATTCTTACCTCCAGCCACTCGGTGGCGCCGACACTCCCATATTCTCCAGCACTCCAGCTGGCGAACACGATGCTCCTCCTTGGTTTGAAACCATCTGTTCAGGTAAACAACAGGTGAGTGAATGTGCAGGAAAACAATAAACGTGCTCCTCTTTTCTACATAGATCCACTCAGAGGACCTTCCTGGGACTCCTCTTCACTACTACTATAAAAACTTGGGTTATTGGGTAAAATGTAAACAAAAATAAAACACAATGACTTCCCAATATGAAAACAAATCGTTTTTTTCTCTACCTGCCATTTTCCAGCCGTCCCTGTGAGAGAGACAGCCTGGACAGGTGTCCACACAGAGACAAACCACATGTCCAGCCTTCTCAACAACTGTTACGAGGAAGATACCAGCTCAGAGGAGGAGGCCACCGGCTCAGAGGAGGAGGAGGATTAGCTCAGAGGAGGAGGATTAGCTCAGAGGAGGAGGAGGCCATTAGTTCAGAAGAGGAGGAGGCCATTAGCTCAGAGGAGGCCACCGGCTCAGAGGAGGAGGAGGCCACCGGCTCAGAGGAGGAGGAGGCCACCGGCTCAGAGGAGGAGGAGGCCACCGGCTC